AATATCTGATATGCAGGATGGTCTTAGGCAACCCCTGTGAAAGGGTCGTTCGACTGCCAAAGGGGTCGTGACCCACAGGTTGAGAACCTCTAGATTAAGCAGACATGCCAGTTTGTGCACTCAAAGGAAAACAAAACCAGAGTTAAGTCAGTAAACCCCTAGGAAAGCTATCAGTTTTCTTAGCACATTGTGTACCGCATAGAAATCTCTAAGAGATACGCCAGGGACTGGACGTTTTGGGGGGCAAACCACGTTATTTAAATCATACCTACAGATCATAATGCCCTTTAGGTGTTGTTTTTCAATAATTATAACATTTTTATTTACAAGAACAATTAAAGTTCCTAGTACTTTTTTAACGTATGGTACTGCGTAAAACATTTTCCTCTATGAAGAGGGACCAAACAAAATTTACCTAAGTATCTAGATTCGCTCCTTTTTCCACGGGCGGCACAAACTCTGCAGGCTCTCGTAGGAAATTTTTTCTTTCCACTCGCTGGAATACACGAAGGTTCATGCTGCTTCATATGCTGGGCAGATTTGTCTCTGGTTCCGGAGAGCCTTCATTATTGTCTTCCGTTATCCAGTCTCTCGCCACCGGTAGCAGATACTGTTTATACTTCACTTTTGCTTATGGACTGAGGACGTTGTACACTCTAAATGAATTGAAAAGTCTACAGTTTATAAGGTACAGCACTTTTTTTGTCCACTTCATCATTTTCCTTAGAATGGAACAACACAAAAGGAATTGATCCGCAATGGTCAATGCCTTTCATGTGGGCATTGTATTCCTTGAGGCAGGTAGGCTTTACAATATTCTCTCAAGTTTTTCTATTTTTTTTCCTGTTGTCGAGACAGAAGTGTCCTGGATCGCTGATATCATTCAGACAACCCGCTTATCTTTCCATGCTAGGAGAAGAATATCGCCTCTTCTGGAAAATATGTCACCTTTCTTCATTCTTGATGTTTTCATTTTCAAATTTGGCGGTAAACCTCTACGCTCCCTAGTAGTCCCACAGACTCTAGTTTTGTTCTGTAGCAGCAATTCAGCAGTAGATGTAGCATTGTAATAATTATCCTGGTAAATATGGTGCCATATGCCAAGATAGGGTCCAAGGACTGAAAGAACAGTTTCTTCCAATTTCCTTCCTTCAGCAGTGTATATCTCCATATTGCAGATATAGCCGGTGTCTCTCTGGCACACCATCCGAACAAGTAAACCGTATTTTGTTATTTTCGCTGGGTTGTACATGTGAAATTTGAAACGTCCTCTCCATGGAATAATTACTTAG